TAAAATTACCAAAAAAGCTTTTTTGGCAGCCAAAACAAAATTCAAGGCGATCGCCTTGAATACACTTTCGAGTTTTATTGATATTTTATTTTTACAAAGCATTAAGTGCCTGCTATAGAATTTTTGTATGTATAACTAGTTTTAAAAGATTTTCAACAATTCATATAATAATTAAATATCACTACTTATGCCCGTTGTATTTTGAATATTTTTTTAATTCTGAAAAACTATTCGATATAAAAGCAATGCCTAATCAAAATTACTTAAAAGAATAAATTATCCAAACACTGACTTCATTTTTTCCTCTCGAATAAAAATATCTTTCTATTAAAAATAAAGTTTTATTTTCATTAAAGATTGGAAAATTTGGAACGACTAGCTCATAACAAATGAATTATTTTAAATTATAGACAATCAATCCTAATAAATTATTTACGACGTTTTGATACTTTAAAAAATACAAATATGACAAAAAAGACAAATGGATTCAAAATTTAAAAAAAAGATTTGATTGAATTAATCGTAGGTAAAAGACGTAGGTCTGTAATCTGTATCTACGGTCCGTAAATTAAATAATCTGACAATCATTAAATGTTTCTGTTCTGATGTGAAATTGTGGCTATTCTGTGTAAAAAGCAACAGTGCAGCGCTACCGCTGCGGGAAAACCGGTTTAAGGTTGTAGGAGTCTAGCAATTTTGAAAAATCAATAAACCACTAAAATTACCGGTCGTTAGTATCATATTATTTATGGAAACTGTATTATTGATTTTCACGACTTTCAGTCTTGGTTGATAAGTTTATGCAGTGCAATTTTTATTTGCTTCAAATGCAAAATCGAGAATTCTATCGACACTGGTTTACAAATAATTCTTAAAATTATGATTTATTATGGAAAATACATTTATTTGTTACAATCTAAATGTGGTAGGGCCACGCAACAGATTCGGCTATGCCGAATATCCTGCACGAATGGGCAGGTCTGTCCGCATAAGTACCACGACGTCACAAAAGACCAGCGTGAATTGGAAATGTTATACTTCTGCATTTCTTCTGGTGAGAGAGGTAGCCGAGGCCATTTTATTAAAAGGTGGCAACGCATCTACAATGTCCATGGGAGCCATTGCCATAAACATTTAATTGAGGCTTGGTTTCTTATGTCTAAGTTATGTATACTTTAATACGACGTAGGCTTCGTAACTCTTAACTATAACTTGGCGAATTTGAACTTTGTTCCATTATCTCTTATTCCATAAAAGAACCTACACAATTTAAAAAGCATATATAATGTTATATCGTCATCCGTGTAATGTACACGGACTAGAATATTATCATGAGAACTAAAATAACATTATTTTAGTTATATTATTTATTTATAGAACTAAAATAACATTATTTTGTTATTTTACTAGTCAAAGATGACAAATCAATCCTTTTATTTAAGCTTTGAAAAAAATTTGCTTCGTCATTTAGGAATTTAAAATTTTTTATAGTGCTAGAGATTATTCTGCACCTAAAATTGAACATTAAAATATGTAGAAAAAGTACGAAAAGATTGTCGCCGCTGTGAGAATCGAACCAACGTCTTCCGCTTTCGCCGCCTGATGCTATTTCTACAAATTTTAATGATCAATCTTAAGTGCAGAGATTAGCACTATAAAAAATTTTAAATTTCTAAAAAGCAATGGCGACATCTCTCGTTCGAATTATCGTTGTAAAACGATATTTGAAATTGTTTGTATGCTGGAAAGGATATAACAATGGATGCGCCAAGCATTGCTTCAAAAATGCTAAAAAACAATGTAGATAAAAGACGTTAAGATTTTCGTCGGTGTGGCAATCAGCCGTTAAGCTTAGTGGTTAAAGCGTCAGGCCGCGAATGCCGAAGACGTGGGTTCGATTCCCATAGCGGCGACAATCTTTTCGTACTTTTTCTACATATTTTAAAATTCATCATTTAGGCTTTGTTAAAACGCACATTTAAGTAAACACAAATCAATGGAGTTCTCTCATTTTAAATCCATGATAACGGTGCTGATTTCATCACTCAGCAGTCGGTTTTACCAAAATTTTTATTTTTATAACCGAAATGCAAAAAACAATGCCCTTACAGTTGCTGCCCTTGGTCATATGTAGTGTATACCACAAAACTGTGGTTTTAAAATTACATATACCTAAGGCATATGCCTGATTTCAAAACCGATCATCGTAGAAGTTAACTAATCACCTGTCAAATGGCTTTTCTCCAATTTTCAAAACTCAAATGTTATTTAAGTTTCCAAAAGGCTATTTAAACTCTCTGAATTGATCAGAATGATCTTCATAATGATCAGAATGATCAATTCAAACATTTATTATTTATTATTGCTTCAAACATTTTCGTGTTTCAACGACTACATACATAAATTTCACGTGGACAAACACCCGGATGCGAAACAACTATCTTGGGGTCACATAAATAGTTGTCCCGTGTGGGAATCGAACCCACGACCCCCGACGCCGAAGCCAATACCTTGACGACTGCGCCACCCTAGCTTACCTATAGAATATTTTATACGAATCGAAATACGAATACGCATAGTGAGTAACTTACAAAAACAAAAAAAACTATGTACTTACTTACCATATTACGTTGGCATATTATCCATAGAACATACGGCATTACAAAATATAAATTTTGAAGATGTTTTAATTATAAGATAAATATATGTTATTTGTCTTAATTTTTTTCTTTGTAATTTGTTCAATACTTTTATCACAATGTATATAATCTGGAGAATCGAGATGGTTATCCTCCCGTCTAACGGACCAGATGCTTGTGGCTCATTCCTTAGGCATTTCTTACAACACCCACGAGATGAGATAGGATGGCTTATTCTTACGCCGGCTTGTGCCGCTTGGCGGGCATGTGCCGAGGAGACGGCCCAACACGCGCTGGAGGAATACCCAGAGGCGGGAGGATCGCCGAGATCTGAGGGCTATCGTGGGGCACGATCTCTCGCTGCCCGCCGTGGTTCGCGCTATGGTGGACAGCGAGAGGTCGTGGGGTGACGTCCTTGCATCCTGCGAGTCCTTCCACCCTGGAAATTCCGGCCTTCCTGTGTAACTGTAACTGTGGCCTTCGCGCACAACCCTCCCCCCTGATAGCAAGCCCCGGGGCGGTAGACGTGGGACTAACTGCTGCCCCGCAGAGGGCTTGAGAGGGGTGCCGTATTCACGACACCATTTGGCTGGACCGGGTGACTAAACACCCGGAGAGAGGAGGCCTGAGAAGGCCACAGTCGCGCTAGGGTTCGCGGAAGATTGCGTTTTCGTGTTCCCATGTCCCCACCAAAAGCGACAGCGCAGGTGCAACGTGGGTTTTTTAGTGGGTACCTACCCCGTAACTCGCTCATACCCCTACTCGCACATACCCACAAGGCAGCGGGGGATCCATAAAGGATTTTTCCCACATAAAAACAAAATTCTTACGCCGGCACCACACGGCACACATCTCAAGAAGTATCAAACCTTTTATGTAATTTCCTTCGTTTCATCCTATTGTATGGAACACATTCAACATTATAACTGGTCGCTTTCGTTTCCAAAGGAAAGCTTTAAGAGAACACTTCTATTAAATACGACTACGGCACAGCTCGTTAATTTTCATGTGCCAAACAATTGCCCAAATTTATTGCCTGCACCAAATAATTTATTTATGAATAGCGATTAACTTTTATCTTTTCAACCTTGATTCGAATATACCGATTAAAAAGCGATGGTTATGGTTAAAGTCCTCTTTTATAGATCGTTTGTGGAATTGAGAATACCTTGACATATTTCTAAATAAAGAAGATCGCGACGCTCAAGTTCATGTATTCGATTCGTTACTTTTTCTGCTAGTGGAAAACAGATTTGTCATTGCGGTTTAAAATGTTTAACGGCACACAAATGGACTTGCAAGTCTAAATAACACTAGATTAATACGGGCTACAGGAATATGACTTATGTCCGTTTTCACCATCGATCCCTAACTTTAAGGGACACCTTTTTGAAGTTATACTTCTTTTGGCACGTTATGGAAAAATGATGAGAGTACCTATATTTTACGATCCGCGCGCACATTCATTTACGTATGTTTCCGTGCCTAAAATTATATCTTTTAAGTTATAATTACGATAGTAGGAGTTTTTTATATGAGGTGGCAAGCGAATTGGCAGTTCACCTGATGTTTAATGATAACCGCCGCCCAAGGACATTTGCAACACCCGTATGCAGGGTTGCAGACCATCTTTTAATAAACTAGGGCTCGGCTACCTCACTCACCAGACGAAACGCAGAAATGTAACCCTTCCACTTTACGCCGATCTTCTGTGAGGTCGGGGTACTTCCTCGGGCGGACCTGCCCACTCGTACAACAGCGAAGACTGTTGCGAGGCCCTACTACAATTAAAATTTACGAGTATACATTTTAATGACTATAAGAAAAAATACGTTACTCGTACCGTAATCAGTCACCGAATGGTTACATAATTATGTCTCAACTCTCAATAAGTATGTATCAGTGAAAGATATTTTATTTTGAAGAATAATGTTTTCAGTTTACTTTGTTGTCTTTAATTTCAATAAATGGTCAATACATAGCAATAGCATTCATCATTTAAAAGAAATTTTTAAACGAGGGTTTTAATGAAAACTACCTTTATTATAACTGTTTATTTCTCGTAAATAGTTCTAAACATAAGCTTTAAAATGGTGTTTGAATAATTGAAGATGAAGAATTACGTATGTAATGGCGAATCGACAAAAACATCTTTGAGAAAATAATGTACATAATTTTCTAAACAAGCAAACAACAACTAAGTGACAAACGACCAGGCGGTTCACGTGAGGCTGAATGCCGCCGAGCATGGACATCTACAATAACTAAAAATTTACAGATGCATTGACTAACTTTCTAAGAAGTGGACACTAGTGTTGTGATTCGCAAGACGAAACACCAAAATATAATTCTTCCACTTCAAGCCGGTCTTCTTGAAGGCTGTGGGGAAAATCCTTTGCCACTGGATCGGGGGAGTGGCAGGTGGCAGGTGTTTGTGGGAGTCCTGAAATGGGTACCCACTACAAAACCCACGTCGCATCGGCGGGACACGGGACACGGGCGCGACTATCGCCTTTTTGGGCCTCCTCCTCTAAATGGTGCTGTGCCGGTGCAATTGGCCACGAGCCCCATACAGAGCGAACACCCCCATGCCAGCCGCTCGGGTCTATCAGGGGATAGACCATAAGACCTAGAAGTTGCGCGCGTAAGCCAACCTTCTGCGCCCTGGCCTCCGGACGAGCCTGACGCAGTTGCACGAATGGGTAGGTGTGCGTGAGTTACTGTACCTCTACAGTAAGAGATAAAAGGATCAATATTTATGAACTTTTCCAATTAATTGTAATATAATGAAACATCTTATTTCAGTATTCGGTTTTCGGTCAAATAGGATAAATAATAATAAATAGCCTAATAGCCCAAATGGACCGAAAACCGAATAACAGCCGAAAGTTTGTTGCAAGCCTTATGTAAATATGTTTTCCAGACACTTCCAGACACATTTCAATTGCAACAATTTTGTACAAAATAAAATGCTTCAAAAAAATGAAAATGAAAAAAAAAACAAATGAAAATTGTAAAATACATCTTTAAACTTTTTTTAATTGATATTTATTAATAAGTATGCAATAGTACTGAAATCATAAATAATGTGAACAGTCTATAATATATATCTACTTAAAATCAAACTGTTTTACTGATTGAATACTTTCTTAAATTTAAAAACTAACATATCCCTAAAAGGATATATTTAAAATCACAGTGTAATGCAGAAATTTTTTGACCACAGTGTATTGCATACACTAGTTTATTTAGGAAGTTTTATAGACAAAACATATTTGAATAAAATTTCAATAATGTCAACCAATTTTTAAATAATACATATTGACTGACAGCTTTAACATCTCAGTTATATCTAAGTGTTTAACATTATCAACTTCTTAATTATGCAAATATTTATATAGAAAGTAGTCTAGTTTGATAACACAGTCTTAAATTGGTGAAGATACAATCTCAATGACTTCAGCATTTTGAGGTTTTACAACTTCTTCCTTAACAGAGACCAATGGTGTCTTATTAGTGGCTAAGTTAAGACATTTATGTTTTACCCTAATATGTTTACGCACAGAATCTCTTCCATGAAATCTGATATCGCAATGAGGACATGAATATTTCTTTTCTTCAAAATGTATCCTTTCATGTAGACTGAGCTTTTGAATGCTAAGGAAGAACATACCACAGATGGTGCATGGTATATTTGTATCATTGTGTTTTCGTTTATGTTTCTTCATTGTGTCAGATCTGTGTGTTTTGTATTCGCATAAATCACATTTGTACACATACCTATGCTTGTTATGAATAGAACGCCTGTGATTACACAGTTCCGCACAAGTGTAGAAGGTGGCAGCACATTTTTCACAAGTATATGATTTTACACCACTGTGACGCTGCATGTGTGGCTTATAACTTTTCCTACTCAGCATCTTCTTGCAAATTGTACACAGTATTTTATCATCTGTGTGGCTCTTCAGATGGCGATAGATGCGGAACCTTCCCTTGAGATATTTGCCACAAAAGTGGCATGTGACTTCCATTTTGTACTCTTTATGTGCTGTTTCCTTATGTGTTTGTAGTGAACTCAGTTGTGTAAATGTATTTGAACATAGTTCACATTGAAATGGTCTTTCACCACTGTGCCTAACTAGATGTGTTTGTATGTCCTTTATTCTCTTAGTTTTGTAGGAGCATTCTTTGCAATGAAAAATTCTCGATTTACCAATGCCTACTATGTTTAACATGCCAGTTGCTGCTACAGTACAGCTTTTCCTCTTTGTTCTCAAGTGGGTGTGATATGCTTTGTAACTTTTAAATGCCATTTTGCAAATTGGACACACTAAAGAGCTTAGTAAGTGTACCTTTTTCCAATGAACTCGCAATTTACATTTGCTCTTAAAGTAGGAGCCACAATCATGACATTGCAATTTCAAATCCTGTATTTGACCTTTATCAACAATTTCTACACATGGTAGTGTAACACCATCTTTTACAGAATCATCATCTACATAATCAGTCGTCACTTTTAATTCATTTGGTAAAAAATTTATCACTTCCAATGGTTCCTCTTTTTTGATTATGACATCTGTACTATTTTGTGTACCAATAGTGTTTTCTTTAGTAGATCTTAAACATTCATTTGAACTTAGGCATTTTTCTTTGAAATTTACAGCTGTCTCCAATTCTATGAAACAAGTAGAACATATGATATCTGGTAGCCCATCACCTTTTTTAATTCGAATATTTGAAATGGCATTAATATGAGCGTGGAGGGATATATTTTTGTATTTATCAAAGATTGACTTATACGTTTTTCTATTGCTTTTTAGGCACACCCGACAAACTGTAGTAGAAATTTTATCTTCATTCATGTTTGTTTATTAGTGTATGCTTAACCATTAATATCTTAGTAAGAGAAAATATTTTATAATATATAATGTAGTAGTGGATATGTATCTGTCAACTTTAGCATAAACACTATATGTAACATCATTAAACAAAACTATTTTCTTTTAACCTCACATATGAATTAACTATAAACAATTAACAAATCCAAATGTAATTGTGAATGTTTGGTTGTTTTGTTCTGACATTTGAATGAAATTGAAAATAGTAGTATATTTTTAAAGTAAGTCAGTCAACTGTTTTCTGCTTTCTGCCACAATATGCCTAATAATAAGTTTGGATAACAACGAAGTTATTTTAAAAATCCAGTATTAATTAATTGAACAATGAAATCATGCGTAGTTTAATATAATTTTTTTTTCGGAAAACTAAAATAATTACATAAGACTTTAATTATTTTTTGTTTATGTGTAGTTTGTAGTTAACCGGAAGAGGTCCGTGGGTAAACGATCCGCGGAGCCAGAAGAAACAACGTATTACATACCTAGCTACTCTATTGCAAGACGACGACACAATGACGCCGTCCAGACAGCTCCATCTCCGCGAAAGATAACAATACTACTTACTTATTAATAATTACTAATATTGAGCGGACACTACAGGCTCCAAGTGACCATAGATAGTTTTTCCAGGACGTCAAACGGCTTCGCGATGTCGAACAAAAGTTATCCCATGCTACTGTCTCTCTTCAAGTTTTCAGACTGACCATTTATGCTCCGTGAGGCGGTTTACTTGAGTGGTGAATGCTCAAATGTCCAGCTCTAAACCGAACTGAAAGTCGGGAATGAGATTTAACGCATTTCAAATCCTTATTATGTCAATGTGTTTTTTTATTGAGAAAAATATTCAAGCGATCGAGCGGTTCACATAATATTAAGTGCCAAAAGACATCTATAACACTCAATGGCTTGCAAATGCGTAGACAACCTTTAAAAAGTGGGCCTCGGACAACCTTGTAACCATGCCACAGGCTAAATATAGCCAGTGGCATATGGCACAACCCGTGGCCAAGAATTTTGCACTTAACAAATTCGGATAATTATACGGAGCAGTATCTACTTATCGCTGCTCGATTTCGAATCCCAAAATATAAAAATCGCAAATCTATCAGAAGCTAAGCCATCGCAACAGATTACTTTTTTTAAGTTTGCTAGTTAAAACATATCTATCGATTTAAATTATTGGATCTAATTATTTATTAGTTAAAATTAGGTAGAAATAAAACATAGATTTTAAATAAATAGATAGCATGTTTTTTATTCATGTTTTTTATAATACATATCAGTTATCATTTTCATTGACATCTTTTATGTGTTAAATTATATTTTTCAAACTTATCTTTAACAATTGCAACTTAAAAGAACTTAAAGAAAAAAAAACTAAAAATATAAAACACTAAGATTCTAAGAAGACTAGTAAAATCTTTCATAATGGTGTAATTTTAGTGTCCTTCTTTAGATTGTCCAAAAATGAATACAACTTCAAACATATAGGCTGTTTACATACTTTGGCTAGTGACTCTGAAATCACACCTTTCGGAAGAATAAAGACTAACATTGAAACAATCAAACTTTTAGACAAATCCTTTACATTAGGTACATTTTAATTACTACATTTTATTTATTATACTTCGAGTAAGGCTAGCGCTATTACCATATAATTTAATGAGAAACGAAAAAGAAGCGAATTGATACATAAATTCATAACATATTCTTTAATTACACAAAAAGTAATAAAATTAAATCTAGGTTTATGAAAAATCTTTAAAGTTATATGTATTTTTAGTTTTTACACTTTTACCATTTTTATTTTAACTCATTGACATAGTTATTTGAAGCCAACAATAAGTCGCTTTTTTAATTTTGAGCCCACTCTCTCAGTGATACACAGATACAGTTACTTATTTATAATTCAATAAACTCTTACTTTGACAGATCTCTGCATGTGTATATTTTTAAAATTAAAATGCTTGTCCATTGATTGTCTACATTTATTAACTATTAAATATGTTAATACGTCATTTGCACCAGAATCAATTAAAAGTTAGTATTTCAATACACACTGATATTTCCTCTGAACTGGTAACATTAACACAAATTTTATTTGGCCGTATGTGACGTGTGTTTTTACTTTTAGAAAGAACTAAATCATTACTTATGCTTAAACTAAGGCACATTCCTTGGACGTAAAACAATCATTCACTTTATACCTTGGTCCCGAAACAATATGATGAAATTATTCCAACTATTATTAAAACTTGACATTATTGTACTTAAAATCTATGGCTCCCGTACTTAATAAATACAACGCACGTCGTGGCAACTTGCAAGTGAACCATAAGAACGTTATTCAATACAGTATTAAATCCACACTGCTGTTTTGGAATAGAGTTATAGTCATGCTTTGGCTTACAGCTATTTCGTTCTATGGTTCACTTATATAAAATAATGATATTGTTGTAGAAACTGAGCATTTAACACAGGAAATATAAACAGATCTCAGAGTATGATTCGCATCATAGTCAAAAAGGTATTTAAAAAGTCTTTGTCTAGGAACTAGCCAGTTTTGTGGAATGAACGCTCAATGAAACCTTGTCTATGGAAACAACATTCCTTATTAATCGAGGACCTACTTTAGTATTAATTGCATTAAAATCTTGGCACTAGGTAGTAATCCTAACTAAATTATACTTTCAACAATCTCAGTACCTATTTCAGTTAAGTTTAAAAATGTTAGGAATTTAAAAATGTTAACATAGATCGTAGCTACGTTAAGAAGCTACGATCAGAGATCTGGAGTCAGCATAAATTGTATTCACATGATGAACTATTAACGCTATTTAGAGATAATGTTTAGTGTGAAATGTTTAAAATATATTTTGTTCATTAATAACTGTATAATAGTTTCTTAAAAGTATGATATAGTGGAATAACTTATTGTAACCAAAAAAAAAAACAAACGAAAGCACATCTTAAATATTGTGTATTATGTTATGCCGTACCGTATTAAATAGGTCATGCAAATTTTTTGACATAGGTACAAAAAATCTCAATTGTCCTTTTCGTCCTTTTTTCTACAAAATTTAATACAGCATTGTCCTGTTACTATGTCGTCATATCATAGTTCGAGTCGCAAAGGATTTTTTAAAATAATTTTTTTTTAGTATCCCTAAAGATTATATTGTTAAAGATGATCAATTTTTACAGAAACCTAACTTACAGTCATTTTAAAATTATATGCTACAATGTGGCCATATGTCTTTCATTGTCTCGATATCTACTTTTTTTTTTTAAATTTATATAATTCATAATTTCGACATAATGTCATTCCCGTAACATATAGAGTAACAACGTGTTAACATCACGTTTGAAATTAAAAAAATAACCAAATGGAGGTTTAAACTTTTAATCAATTTTGTCGTATACGTCAACTTTGTAACATATTCTGTGTAAAATCAAATACTAAAGAAATTGTAATTTTTAATGACAATTTCTTTTCAGTCGCACCTTACAACACGTGGAAGACAAAGGAAGAGTCGTAAAGTAAGTGCTTATGAGCTTTCTAGATATCGGTTTCAGTAAAGTATACATCTTCAACTAGGCATAATTTTGTTAATAACTTACAAAGTGTTTTCATCTGTCAAGTCACCGACGTCATTATTGTCAATGTCATTCAGTCGGTTACGATTAAATGGCGCGAACTAAATAGGAATGGTTCAAAAATCAGTAGCAGTGCGGGAAGGATGCTTATAAACGCGTAGATGGCGCCACTTTCCTCGCGGAACGGACGAAGACCGAATTTTAAACTGTTTATAGTGCTTATCTTTGCACTTAAAATTGAACATTATTTTTCTAAATATTTTAATGAAGACCGAATTTTTAATTTCTCTTTGGTGCAAATTTAGTTTTAGTTCGACCTTTGGCCGCGTCCACGAGCATCCGTGTCGCATGCGGGGTGCGGAACGGAACTCGAGCGTGGTGCCACAACGTGCGGGATCCGTTTGACGGTTAATCTAGCGTGGTGCCACAACGTGCGGGATCGGTTGAATTGCTAATCTAGCGCGTGCCAGTCGGGTCGGCTCAGTCCGGCGGCTCCTGGTGGGAGCAGTGCGGCACGGGGGTGGGGGAGGACTTGAAGGCGCGCGGGAAGAGGGACGAGTAGGAGGGGGGCGGCTCGTACTCGGGCGGGGTGGGGGGCAGGGGGGCGGCGAACAGCTGCTGCGAGGCGGCCGTCACGGTGACCGTCGGCGGCATGTCGATGCACGACGGCGGAATGTTGATCGGCGTGTCGGACGGCTTCGAGCGCTTGCAGCAGCATTCTGCATGGACAGTGTGTTAACTCTTAGCGATCGTCCATTACTCATGGGAAGTTTTTTTTAAATTATTTTACCAGGCAGCGGCGAGTCAAGCGCACGCGCAGCTTTTCTGTTTAGGAATCGAAAGTTCGATGAAATAACACAAAAATTACTACGAAATTTTTGCTGACCCACTCCCTCCGAGCCTCACGTGATTCATTTAAGACCCTTTTAAGCTTCTCCCTTCCTTATTCATAAAATCATAATTATTCCGCCGTCACTTCTCATCATTATTAACGTAATAATTATCATGATATGTACAAGCTTTTATTCGAGAAGTCCACCAGGTGTTACATGATTACCGCCGCCCATGGACATCCGCAATGCTCGTGGAGGCTGCAGATACATTGCCCACCTTTAAAAAAGTCCGCGGATGCCTCACTACATAAAACTCCATTTTTCACGGGTCTTCTGTGAGGTAGTACTACTTCCCTGGACCAGCCTATCTCTTTGTGCAGCAGCATAGTATTTGACCCTACCGCAGTGCTTCTATAGTAAAGAAACACCGAAAGAGGTTCTTTGTGAAAAAGATCGCGAATGAGTCGACGGTTCTCCTGAAATAGTGATTATCACCGCCTCCCATGGACATCGGGAACAGCAGCCTTGGCCGTTGCACGAATAGGCAGGCTCCTCCGGGTAAGTACCACGAACTCACAGAAGACCGGCGTAAAGTGGAAGTGTAATACTTTCGCGTTTCGTCGGGTGAGTGAGGTAGCCGGCGCCAATTTGCCAAAAAGGTTGTCAACGCATCTGCAAACCCTCGCGTGTAGTTAGCAGATGTCCATAGGCGGCGGTATTCACTTAACATCAGGTGAACCGTCTGCTCCTTTGGCAACTTTTCAAATTCACACTTCACATTTACACATTCAACTATCTTCTTTTTTTATGTAAGAGGGTGGCAAGGGAGCTAGCAGTTCACCTGATGTTAAGTGATAACCGCCGGTCGAAACTGTTGGTTATGAACCAAGTCCCCGCACTATTACAATCAGCGTGCCTCAGATAGTATCATTGGGATTTATGGAGTTAATGACTCCGGCGTCGGGGGTCGTGGGTTCGATTCCAACACGGAACGAGTATTTGTGTGACACATAAACTGTAGTTATTTTGCATCTGGGCGTTTGTCCATGTGAAATTTATGTTCGTAAAACGTGGTTAGGACCGGTGCGGCATCGGAGTTCGCCGAAGTAAGTAGGGCAAATATGAATCTCTTCGTTTAGATCATGTATTTGTGCCATTTGCTGTTGGAACTTTGGGTCCGTGCATAGAAATTTTTGATAGGTTTACGTCCTAGGCTTACCGCCGCGGCTGGTTTATTAGACGACATGTAGATAGATTTCATGTTGTAAATATTGGATAAATACAATAAGCACAGGACACTGTTGTCCTAAAGGACACTGTTTAAAAAAATATATTAACTATAAAAAATATATTATTAGCTGGAGTAGGTAGCGCAAATAAGAGTCTCTTTGTTCAGAAGTAATACAAATATGATATCAAATATCTCCCTGTTTAGATTACGTATTTGTGGTATTTGCTGATGGAACCATTACTCACCCCAAGCCAGACAGAACATGAGGATGGTGGCGCAGACCAGCATGCCCACCACGAGGTAGCTCCAGGGCCCGTACGGCTTCAGGGCCGCGGCGAACTCCATGAACGCGTTCGACTTCTGCTCACCCTCGCTGATCTTCACTGAAAGTTTCAAATCGCCTGCTCTCACTCATAACGAAATTTCGCGAAGCTGCCGCAACGGTTGGAAGGGAAGGGAAATTGAATGGAGTTTATTTATTATATCTATCACAGCTAAATAAAATTGGAATGTCTGTTTGTAATATTAAAATAACCACTTTTTACTAAACGTATATGGATGTACACGGTACATATACCAAAACAACATTTTTTACAATTTTTGTCTGTTTGTTCCCGCTAATCTCTGAAACGGCTGGACCGTTTCACTGACAGATAGCTGATGGAATAAGGAGTAACTTAGGCTACTTTTATTTTAGATTCTTTTTTATTTTGAATTCCACGCGGACGAAGTCGCGGGCACTGCCAGTCTTCAATAACACGAGATAAATATTATAATATGGAACTAATGTTATATAGTAGATTTTCTTAAGCAGATCTTAAAAAAAACGTAAATTTTAGTCAGTGAACGCTAGTAAAACGTGAAAGTCGCACATCCATACAAGTGATTGTTAATAAATAGCATCACAAGTCTCACGACAGTTATCACGCACATTTGTATAAATCAATAACATACTGAATTGTCGTTTAACAAAAATGAACTTATTTGTAAGCTCAATTAAGTCTACATCCCCGCCTATTATATTAGCCCGGTAAAGTTTGTTGTTGTGTCATTTTGGAGCAACAATAATGCATCCATATTTATTTGCGCTCGCTGATTTTAATATAAATCCTAGTACTGTTTTAATCAACCCTTATGTCAAATATATAAGGAAAGTTCTTTCAGGAAAATGTTTGTCTCTATTTTATGATCGTCCTACTTTCTTCCCCAACGATTAACGCTGCTAAAGCTTTTGAAGAAACAATTTCAGACACTACGTGTTCAATGTCTTCTCATGACGATAATTCATTGATATCTGACGGGGCTGATCCGCAAGCGAAGGTTCGAATTAAGGTTAGTCGTCCCACACGGGACAACTATTTGTGTGACCCACAGATAGTTGTTTCGCATCTGGGTGTTTATCTGCGTGAAATTCATGTTTGTAAAACGTCATTACACCACGGGATAATATTATCCTAGAGTGATGGCAATGTTTAACTAAAAAAAAAACTCACTTATCACGGAGGGCTTAGTCATCCCATCCGGCTGGTCCAGGCCGAGGAGCTCCTGGTTGCGCGCGGCGAACCGGCGCAGCAGCTCGAGCAGCGGCGGGTCGCGCCTGTGCGAGCACGCGCTCGAGTCCTCGTCCTCGCCGCCCGGGCAGTGGCGGACGCCGTCGCAGACCAGGTACGAGGATATGCAGAGGCTGGTCACGCCGCAGACGAACTGGGACTCGTTGTTGCACATCGCGCCTGGCGAGCGATACGGACTGTCGTGTAACGGCTTCGATGTTCTATCCACATAGGACTGCGGTGGGCCCACGCTGCGAACCGTCGTGTAACGGCCGGTTTCGATGCGCTATCTACAGATAGAACCGTGGTAGGGCCACGATGGGAACTATCGTGTAAGGGACGGTTTCAATGTGCTAGCTACAGATAGAACTATGTTAGGGCCACGCCGGGAACTATCGTGTAACGGCCGGTTTCGATGCGCTATCTACAGATAGAACTGTGGTAGGGCCACGATGGGAACTATCGTGTAACGGCCGGTCGGTTTTGATGCGCTATCTAGGTACAGATAGAACTGTGGTAGGGCCACGCTGGGAACTATCGTGTAAGAGACGGTTTCAATGTGCTATCTACAGATAGAACTGTGTTAGGGCCACGCTGGGAACTGTCATGTAAGGGACGGTTTCAATGTGCTATCTACAGATAGAACTGTGGTAGGGCCACTCTGGGAACTATCGTGTAACGGCCAGTTTCGATGCGCTATCTACAGTCAGAGGCGGATTTGCTCCAAGGCCCAATAGTCGCGGGCCTAGGGCGCCCACATGTTAACGGCCGCCAATAGTGACAAAAAATTCACTCATGATAACAAGATATGATGGGCGGTGAGAAAGGGGCGGCTGGAACTTACTACATGGGCTGGCTCCTAGGGCTGCCAAGACTACAAATCATCCACTGTCAGATAGAACTGTGGTAGGTTGTGTAGTGTTCGCTGTTGCACGAATGGGCAGGTCCGTCCGGGTACCACTACCTCATAGATGGTAAAGTGGAAGTGTTACACTTCTGCGTTTCGTCTGATGAGCGAGGTAGCCGGCGCCCACTTTATTTAAAGTTGGCAACGCATTTGCAACCCTATCGGTGCTGCAAAAGTCCATGGGAGGCGGTTATCACTTCACATCAGGTCAAACGCCAGCTCGTTAGCCAGTTTATCACATAAAAAAAATAAAGATAGATTTGGCTGCTGGAGGTAATGTCAAATAGCTATCGCTAATAACAAAATATATCTGTAGATGGTATATTGAAACCGGCGGTAAGACGTCATTTAATTACATTTTCACACAAAGAAATATACCACTTTTAATATAATTTAGCTTATAAGAACCGGCAAGATAAACTACACCATATGTGAATATTTGTGTATTTATTGCATAATGCAATTTATGTTGTTAAAATATTAAATTGGATAGTTACGTGATTTTTTATAATTATCTAGTTTTAGAGCAATATACAAATAATGAGTCAGATTAAGTAATGATAAGTATTAAGGATTGTTATTGTGAATGTGATTACAATCTAAAAGTTATAATGTGTAATATTAGAATAATGGAAACATTAATTTTTCCCATGTCAGCTTTTCTTACGTTAATATGAGGCTAAAGAAAAGGTCACTTACCGCTGTTAACAGCGGTGACCACAAGCCGCAATTTCTCGGTGTGCTGGTAGGGCGTGGTGGGTGGATTCCAAACAATCCTGATCTTCGGCGGGAGCAGTCTGGTTCCCGCTTTCGCCGCCACTTGCGCCGCGTTCCCGCCACAAAGCGACAGCCGCCAGACTGGATTCTTTGCGTCGCCGATGTACTGGCAAAATTAATTTTTAAATGAAATCGTTTATCTCATATATAACATATTTTAACGGCATACTACAAGAGAAGTTAAATAAAACATATCGTAAATAACGAGGAACACTGTTTATGTGATGAAAATAAAAATAGTTTTAGATTTTGTGTATTGGAGACGACATGCTAAAAACCATTCACTATTAAGATAAAAATGATCTCCCGGTTGAATTATTAATGTTCTCCTTCTACGTCTTTAAATTTAACACATTTTATAATTATGATAATGCAATATTAAGTTTTATACTTGTCCCTTGTTTTGTGAAGATCATAATATTCAGTGATATTCATTATCATAATACATTTAGCTACTTAATACACGTAAATCTTTACTTTTTTTTTTAAATACTACACCATAAGAACATTTTGGATACAAAATAATTTTACAATTTTTTTATCAAATCTCGAATCCCTATTATCTATTTTGAATTTTTACCATATTTTTTTGGGGTCGGACAAGTTATTGGTACAAGTATCCTATTAGAAACGAGCGTATTTTTCCCAGGAAATGAGCGTTCCGCCGGGATGGACTTATGCCATTTAACTCCAATTAACCCACGCTCCAATAAAACTCAATTAGCAACAAACGTTATTCTATACATTACTCGTATCGTCTTACAATGGACAAGAAAAAGCTGAACTTATTGACAGCCTCTGCAATAGGCAAGAATTGTTTGTGATTTGTTTGCTTTTAAAGTATCTGTCTTAAAGAGTTGCTAAGTAGGGTATATTCTTAACCATGATTGTATATTGTATTCCCTCTTTCGTTACAATGTTTTTTTTTAATCTTTGATCAAATCGCCTCTGATACTTGTATTCATGCGGCCGTAGGTATTTCGTGTGGTTTTACGTTCGTAATTCGATAACTCTTCCTTTTCCGCGTCGCATTTGCGGACTCGACTGTGTTTTTGTTTGTCTATGGCCGGTCTGTAGCTTGTTCGCGGCTAGCATGTGGTTAACTGTGACAGGATTGAATAGGGAAACTGCTGAGAAGAGTTAAAATTCAAAAATATACGGCGAAATACGAAATACAAATTTTTCTCGGTTGTATTTTGAACGCGACAGCGAGAAGTTTTTACATTTTTTTTTTCATTTACATTACATAGCGTTGTGTGTGTTTTAGGTTTAATCATACTTGTGTTTAGATTCCCCGCCTCGTTGTTCGCATCCCTTTGCTTAAATCATATTTTATATGTGAAAAGTACGGTGGTAGGGCCACGCAGCAGCCTCGGCTGTTGCACGAATGGGCAGGCCTGTCCGGGTAAGTACCACGACCTCACAGAAGACCAGCTTAAAGTGACAGTATGACAAATACTTTCGCGTTTCGTCTGGTGAGTGAGGTAGCCGGAGCCCAATTTTCAAAAGGTTGTCAACGCATCTGTAACCCTCGGGTGTGGCAGATGTCCATGGGCGGCGGTATTTACTTAACATCAGGTAAACCGTCTGCTCGTTTGACAACTTTTCGCATAAAAAAAAAAAAAAAAGTGGAGTTATCTACCTCACTCAACAAACAAAACGCTAATTTGCAAAACCCGTAGGATTGCAGATGCGTTGCCACCTCTTAATAATGTGGGCCCCGGCTACCATACTCACCAGATGAAACGCAGAAGTGCAACACTTCTACTCTACGCCGGTCTTCTGTGAGGTCGTATTACTAACCCGTCCGTCCGGCCCATTCGTGCAACACTGTTGCGTGGCCCTAACACCGACTTCTTCATATATAGAATACTAGCTGACCTGGCAAAAGTTATTTGCCACAATTTTTCCGAAAAATAAAAATAAAATGTTTGCGGTTGACCACCCTATCACTCAGGGGTATGAAAAAAGATTACGACCGATTCTCAGATATAAAAATGCATAAAAATCGATCAAGCCGTTTCGGAGGATGACAGCTAACATTGTGACACGAGAATTTTATATATACATATATAGATATCATAGGGCAGGCCGTCCATTCAGGGAAGAGCGGATGCTATTGCCCCTGCTACATGAAAATGTACCGGTATTGCTGAATACTCACGATGAGCATCTTGCAGGCGTCGGTGGCGTTGGCCACGGGCGCCGCACCATCGGTGGCGGTGTCCTGGGCGTGGGCGGGGCTCCTGCCGCTCCATTTCCGCCCCGGGCCCCCCGTGGCAGGGCTCTCGCGCAAGTCCGTCAGGCCGCGCTCCCAGTCCGCCAGCGATTCCTGAAAAATAATGGGCCTGGATCAAACCAACTGCCTGTATCTGTAAGGTAGGCAACGGTGGTAGGGCAACGCAGCAGCCTCGGCTGTTGCACGAATGGGCAGGCCCGTCCGGGTAAGTACCACGACTTCACAGAAGACCAGCGTAAAGTGGAAGTATGACAAATACTTTCGCGTTTCGTCTGGTGAGTGAGGTAGCTGAAGCCCAATTTTATAAAGGTTGTCAACGCATCTGTAACCCTCGGGTATAGCAGATGCCCATGGTTGGCGGTATGCACTTACCATCAGGTGAACCGTCTGTTCGTTTGGCAATTTTTCACATAAAAAAAAGCTGCCAACGCTGTAAAGAAAGCGAAATAAAATTTTTGTAATAATATAAACCATTGTCGGACAAAAGATCATCGTTAAATGTAATTAATAACTGTTTTTTAATGACGAAAAATTTACATTTGAATGTATAATAGAAGCTTATTACCACGAGGTCGTGGCGTAATATAACGTTGCGTAATTGGTTTTTCGATGTTTTACAAACACAAAAAACTTTATGATGGTTAACGAATAACCTGATTTGTCGTGAACGATATTCTCGTATCGTCTAAGTCAACTAGGTGACGAATATTTAATTGACTATAACTAGTCGAATTTCTTTACCTACGAGTGGGCCAAACAAAAGGTGACTTAACTAACTCACCAAAGAAACTGTAATCTTTCCACGGTTCCTGGTTACAATGACGTCATTAAGTAACAGACAGTACAGGGTCCGTTTTTGTTTTGTACGTTGTATAATATAGACGGCCATTGGTTTCTTTTAGTCGACGGTTAAAACGACCCGTTACTAATACACCAAACGCATCGAATGTGTCTTCAATTCGTCAACGGGGAGTTCCTGCTTGCTGCATTAAGGAGTAATACGAGACAAATTAAACTGTTCCCCTATTTGGTTACAGCAGCGCCGAACGACCAAAACGTTCCAAATTTGCTTGCAAACATTATGCTTAAACATCTGAGTAATCAGACGTAAACAATAATTTCTCACGTGATTCAAGCTTAACTCTTGTCGTAATTTCCATTGTGCTGTTAAATTGAAAATAATGTTGAAAGGAGCGCAAATACAATTGACGCGATGACAATTCGCCCCCAAATTCGAACAAACATACGAAATAATGGCACACAATAAAGCGATGGATACTGTTTGCGTTAAACGCAAAATGAAAAGACATTTAAACAAGTAACCGTAATAACGTCTTCAACAAGCAAACGTAGTATTCTTTTGTGCGAAATAAGTACAGTTCATTGGTTACTGTGAAACTTACCATGGTCGATAAAAACATGTTTAATGTTTTTATTGACGATGGTAAAATCCATAACGACACACGTAAATCAATACATTAACTTTTCATTTTCCAAAAATCAAGTTTAAAATAAGTATAATAAAATCCTGTTATTAATATGTTTTACTTTTCGTGCGAATAAAAGGCTAACGCCACAATGTTACCGTTCAATTATAAAAAAAAAAATTCTTCGGTGTCAGCAAAGCTCTAAAATTGGGGCGATAAAAATCTCCGACTGTTGAATATTTATGAATTATGTCATATAAAAAAAAAAAAACTGTCAACTGCTTTGTCATATAAAGAGTGCGTGGTGGCATACCAAGTTGTTTTGTGGTGGCATGTTACATAGTGGCTGAATTAGTGGCGAATGGTATACAAGAACCGAGTGCGATGCCTGCCAGTTTAACTTTAACTTATTTTGAAATAAACGCATGAGCAAAGGACATAAAACGTCCATACATAACAGTAAGGGCGACGTTTTTAATTTAAAAAAAAACAATAACTGTAAAAAGTAGCCGAGCAGCCTATTCTGTTGTTCAAATTAAATCAGATTTTTATTGCAATATTGACTTGTATAGTATGTATAACACACATATTATAGATTCGCTTATTTGCTGTTCTAAATCGCGATAGTTTTTCAAAATATAATTAAATATTTTGTAATAGGTACTTAGATTACACGGATCAATTTCGTCGTTTACATTATGGCGTATACGTGTATTCTAAAAGCTTTTACTCACCTCATCCGATTCTTTACAGGTTAAATTTAGCTTAGCCATAATGTCATCCGTGTAAACTGATCTCAAATCATTATTAAAAAGCCCATCCTAGCAACAGTAAAGGAATGAGTATATTTTAATTATGAAACTGAGCCGCGGCCCAAGACTATAGGTTTCCGCGCAGTTTATTATTACGGAAGGGAACACACGCCGAATAATAATCCCTCCCATTTTAAGATTCTATGCACGCAAGCAAAATTTGTAGCCTTTTAAAAATTTTGCCATTGTTTAATCAATAACAGATTTCGTTTAGGTTCTTACATTTCAATTCGATTCAATAGGAGTTACGAGTCTTATTTATATATCTATGAATTTTCCAATGATTTCTTGTTTCATCAAGTTCCCATGTGAAGGCAAGCTCTCATTTATAACAATTAACCATGGCGGATGTTGTAGAAATTGGTCAACACAACATTGTTATCATAATAGGTAGGCCCATCGTCAAACGTCAAATTCAAATGTGGAAAACTAATTTCTGAATTTAATAAATCGAAACTCGATTAATTTAATCTGATCATGAGTCTATGTTCCACATTTGCAACCGTATTTTTTTTGAGATCCAACTACTACGATACTCTTAAAGCTTCGATATGTTATGCACATGCTTATTTCTTGTCAACGTCATCGAAATCGATGAGGAGGACTATATATATATTTCGATAGTATAACTCAAGTTAACACTCCTGACGTCACAGATCGCGTTGATATCGAAAATATTTTGGAGTACACTATCGTCAAATTCATCCTCCATACTATAGCTTGTTACAACATATGTCACGTCAGTGACCACGCTAGCATCGTACAAATCTTAAAGTACAGAGCTTCCACATAAGCACTCTAATATGTACTCGACTTCAACACCGCAGGTCACACGTAGTGGCCAAACATTCAGCACAATAGCAACGCAACAGTTTTTTAATTGCGAAGTATCAGAAGGCGAAACAAAGGGGCGGTTGCGACGTAAGTGTTGCGTCGAGCGGTTAACGCTGCAGTGTTTTGTCTGCATTGTGCGATTGCAGTGCGATATAGCGTACTGCTCAAAATTATGTTAAGGTAGCAATCAGATGAAATAGCGAGACGAACGGTTTCTTAAGTTTAAGGGGAAGTTATATCTAAGCTGCGGGTAATTAACACATTAATAATAACCATATTACCGATATGCTAACACCATGGGGCGCTGCACTGTGCTTTTTTAAAAACTTCATCACCATAAAATATAAATAAAAGTCTTTTTGGATTTTACTTTTTTCTTTTTGGACATGTTTACATCTCAAAGTTAAAGAATTTACCGCAATGCACCTATTGTTAATTCAGTGACCACACATAAAAGCAATTTGGGAAGAAAACCATTCGGGATTACAAAGATGAAACAAGAATGGTTGCGTTTAATGTCTAGTTAGCAAGAGTTTGTAATTCAGTGTCTGCATTGGTTCTATTTTTTTAGACCTAAGAAAACCAAAATAAGTAAAACGGCATCGTTATCACGCATTGATGAATATATTACTCACTTAAACTTGTACTTGTCTCGCTACAACTTTTCTGGACTAATTTATGAAAAGTTTACATTCCAAAATCCCTAACTTCTTGACTTCAAGGACCATTTACAACTGTCTCTATCATCTGGGATCAAAAGTCAATCGATGTAGTAATATATAATTAAATAAATAAACATCCTTTCGTTTGTTTGGTTAGGGCGCTTATAAGTATAACTCAAAGGTAATCTGCACATGTGTTAAATAGGTCAGTATCTTTGAAGATTGTTGTGCTTTATCCACTTTGGAACAGTACATTTCAACAACACCCAACAAACTCCTCTCCTTTACTAATTATAATCCTTTAAAATTACCACCATTAATGGGTGCTGAAATTTTCGTTATTCTCTGACAAAACGGGGCTTACTAACGCAATATATGTATACTTATAACTTAATAATAAAAGTATAAAATTCATGAAATGCAATATAATCTATCGCCCCTAAGAACTTCCTATGGAGGTTTCCGTGTGTTGCCCCCTATCGTAAACCGCACTGCCTCGCCTCGCGGTTCCGTCCGGCCTTGCCGCGAGCGTTCATTAGGGTTTTGCGTTGCACGTTTCATAGACAGCTAGATGACATGCCCGATATATAGAACTATCTAGATCGAGTGCAATTGTACACGGCTAGGTATCAAACGGGCGTGTCAAGGTGACTAAAAAGCTTGTTCAGCTTGTTCGATACGAGATTTCGTTACTAATACAATTCTTGTGCCTTTGTTATGTTATATATAAAATTTTTAAATTAAAGGTAAATTAAGACAAAATACAACATTAAATTGGAAGTATTTGTCTGAATTAATATAGACGCCTACATAAAAAATTATGGTATCTATTACAATCATTTATTTTTTAACTACGAGTATATATGTTAGCAAAAGGTACCTAACGAGGTAGCATCCTAAGATTCGCAGTCACGTATGCATTGCCAATCTTTCAAGTGCGGGCCACAAATTATATCGCTTACCAGACAAAATATAAAACTATGAATACTTACTACACTAGTCTTGTGTGAGGCTTACGTTTTTTCCTATTGAAATTTTACGATTCATGTAACAGTTCGGTTGGAAACGTTTTTGTTTACAGTTCAAATCTTTGCATCATATACCAGCTTATTGGTTCGTGTCAATCAACGCGATAGTTCTAGCTTTCAACCTTTAACTTTGTCACAACATAAAAAATTAAAGAACTGAGAGTTATGATTTCATTATAACGTGTGCACAGTATATATATTCGTTACCAACGTGAAAACCAAATAAAACCCGTCGCTGGAATTTAAGTAAAGAACGTAACCATCGAAGCGTTCGCCTTCTACGCGAGTTACATTTATTATCTGTACTTCTGATGTATGTACGCATAAATT